AAAAAAATTCTGCACATAGGATTGAGAGCCACCTTAAATTTTCATACTGTTGCTATGGTAACCTATTGTGTCAAGAAAATGATAACAACGTGTTCACAAATGATTGAGCAGTTGTATGATGTAAGGGTTATTGACCAAGTGTGAGGTCAAGACGGCTGGATATTGGCCAAGTTCTTTTTTTGCGTGTTTATGGACCGATATGGAGTTGAGGTCCATAAACTCACAAAAAAGAACGAAGCTAATATCCAGCCATCTTGACCGAACAAGCTTGGTCCATAAAGGATTTATTACATGGCTTTTGGGGAAATTTTTCTTGCGGGACATGGTGGGTAGTCCTGAGCAGGCAAGATAGCTCCATCTTGCCCGCTCGAGTAGCCAATCACAGTACAGGATTTGATTCATCTTGCCCGCTAACGGAGCTAGCCATATAATAAACCATGATTATAGCATCAAGTGATAAAGAGTGGTTGTAATGACCAATCAAAACTCTAAGTGCTGGACCTTAAGCTTTTTCGACAAAAAATCTTATTTAGCACAGAGGGCCATGATCACAGGACACGTTGTATGCTAGTTCATTTTCNTCTTTCCCACAAACAAAACACCCTTAATTATAACTTTAGGGACTTATAACTCAAAATCAGCACAGTAAAATTTTTTTATATTTTCAAATTTTGATAAGCATGATAAGACGCAACTTTTGGCAAAGTTCAAAAAAATTCTGCACATAGGATTGAGAGCCACCTTAAATTTTCATACTGTTGCTATGGTAACCTATTGTGTCAAGAAAATGATAACGTGTTCACCAATGATTGAGCAGTTCTATGATGTAAGGGTTATTGACCAAGTGTGAGGTCAAGACGGCTGGATATTGGCCAAGTTCTTTTTTTGTGTGTTTATGGACCGATATGGAGTTGAGGTCCATAAACTCGCAGAAAAGAACGAAGCTAATATCCAGCCATCTTGACCGAACAAGCTTGGTCCATAAAGGATTTATTATATGGCTTTTGGGGAAATTTTTCTTGCGGGACATGGTGGGTAGTCCCGAGCAGGCAAGATAGCTCCATCTTGCCCGCTCGAGTAGCCAATCACAGCACAGGATTTGATTCATCTTGCTGGCTAATGGAGCTAGCCATATAATAAACCATGATTATAGCATCAAGTGATAGAGAG